TGTTTTTCACAAAATAGGATTACACTTTAGAAAAAAAAAAGATCAGTTATAATAATTATTTTAAAATTTAAGAGTTGATATTACAATGAAATATACGTGCATTATTATAAGGAATATTTTTAATGTGTTGAATGGGTCATTCATCTCATTTGACTTTTAGATTTGTACTTTGTAGAATCGCAGCGTGCGCTGCCGTACCCAGTGGGCGCTGCGTTTCTTTCTTTGGTAACCGTGACATCACTTTTTCAAAAAGAAAAAAATCAATAATAATTGACCCTTTTACTTTTATTTAAAAAAAAAAAATTATAACTCTTACCTTTTTAAGTTATATATCAATTTGTCTCTATTCGACTACATTGACTGTGAGTTACCTGAGTAACTCAGTCGGTGAACAATTCAAATTGGGATCTACGAATATTTTTAATTAAACTAAGTTCTAATATCTTGTACGTGTATAAATGGACATGGAATGAGTATTTGCAGTCCAAAACAATTGAGGACAATATCCACCCAAATTCATTCTGGGTTTTGCATTTGTCATGTTGCATGACAAATACAAAGTTTTCTACACATATCGATATTTGTGCTGTACTTTTTTTCCTTTTTTTTATTTTAAATATGGTGGACCCCACACTTATTGTCTCTATAACATGACAAGAGAATTTTCCTACAACGTTATACTTGTTTTTCCCATTCTTTATACCCTAAAAAGATGTAAACTTGTTTGAATAGAAATTCAGTTTAGGGAATAAGAAATTGAATAGAAATTGTTCTCAATATTTTTTGACCCTTGAACCCATATATAAAGTCCAAATATATGTGTGCTTGATATAATAATAAGCATGGATTAATAAAATTTGAACCCAATTTAACAAGTCATATTGAAACCAACAAAAAATCATGTTTTGACACCTTAAATCAAATGAGGACTATCCTCGATTATAAAGGACCCACAAATAGTAATCACAAGTCCTTTTATACATATACAAGACATTATAAATTCATTTGAATAAAATTTTTTGTTAATCCCAATTTGAGTTGTCCACATGCCTCATTTACTAGAGTAATTGGGCCGATTACTCCAGTATGTCATTTACTAAAGTAACTGATCCAGTTTCTTGAGTAACTCGCGGTTAATGTGATCAAACAAGAACAAATTAGTATATAATTTTGATAAAAGGTTAAAATTAATACATAGTTTAAAATGGGGGCAAAGTGGTAAAAAAATTTAGTATAGGGGCACAATGGTCAATCATCCTAATAATTTGATAGGCAAATTCCAAAAAATAAATAAATTAAAAACGACTTCGATTTAATTTAGTATCAAAATTTTCAATCCGAATTAGTCCGAACTGTTGTCCATATGTTTCCAAAAAATGAAAAGAAAAAAAAACTGTTGTCCATACCATAGAAATAGAATGTAATGTTGATGGGCATGCCCTTGGAGTTGGCTAGTCTAGATTATTGAGGCCCATTGCCTTGCAGAGGCTCCTCTCTTTTCCTTCATGAGAAAATTCAAATTATGGAATTTTTTTTTTCCGGTTCTATGGTATCATGAGATTTGAGACTGCAGAAGATATAAGAATACGGATTTTTTTCATAAAAATATTTCTTCCTGACCAAAAAAAAAAGTTTTTGCTAAACAAAAAATAAAATAAAAATTGTAAAGTTATTTTAAAACAACAGATCATGACATTAAGATTTTTTTTATTGAAGATCTTATAAAGGGCCTGTTTGTTTGTGTTATAGTTTTTTCGTTTGCTTAAAACTGTTTTATAGAATAATTATGAAAAAATATTTTCTATATTTTATTTTTTTGAAATTTAAAAACTAAATCAGAAAACAAAAACAACTCAGACATTTTTTCTAAATTTGATTCTAAAACAAAAAAAAAAATATTTATAGTTTTTAAATTTTTTTTTACATACCAAAAAACTGTTTTTGTAAAACAGTTATCAAATAGACCTAAAATCTCCGTTTTTCGGTTTTGTAAAGTTCATGTATTCTATAATTTTGTGAGCCAAATACTTTACTGCTAAAAATTGTAACTTGCTGCATCAGTGTTCCGCTTTTCTGGAAGGCCGAAAGAGTTTTTATATATTAAGATTTAAAGAAATAATAATGTATCAGAAAAATAGAAAATAATAAACAGTAAATTACCGTTTCAGTTTTTTAAAGATTAGATTGACAGTAGTTTGATTTTTGAAAGATAAGTGAAATCAATTTAGTTTCTCAAAAATAAAAAAAAAAAGGAAATGAATCCGTGGAAAAAAACTAACATCAATTTAAATATTTAATCCTATAAAGAAATTTGATATCAATTTAATCCCTCGATAATAAGAAATAACATCAATTTAGTTTTTTAATATCTTGGTTTGAATATAGAATAATGATTTTGATGTCATGTTTAATGATTGAAGAAGTAACTTGATGTTAGTTATCTTCCGCAATCGTAGATTCAAAGTAATGTCAACCCAACCTAAACATTACAAATGTTTACTCAAAAGAAAATGGACTAGTCTTTCTCTACATAAATACATGACTTTAACCTACGAAGCACCGATACTTCCAAAATCTCTAACATCTCGTGTCTAATACTTTCTGACACTCAGACATTTCTCGACACTCCAATACTCGTTGCAAAGACTTAAAAAAGATTCAAAGGTTACGTTGTGTTGCATTTTGAGTTCCAACTATTAGATTCGTTGGATTATGATTATTATTTTATTGAGTTTAATATAAATATTTGGGATATCTTATGTTTCTTTGCAAAATTGATGGGTATTATAAGTTTAGCTTTATTTTATTTTTGTTAAATTATTTATATATAAATATAATATACACTACATAAATTAAAAATATTATATGATATCAAAATGTGTCCTAACATGTTGAAATTTAATATTTTTTAAAATTAACGTGTCGGAGTGTCGTGTCGTATCTCGTGTTCCGTGTCGGTGTCAGTGCAACATATGCTTTAACATCTTCTTTATAAGATGTTAAAATTATAGTGTGTGTTTTTCGTGTTGATGAACAATCTTACTTCTTACAAGAATTTAATTTTGATGCATTATTAGTATAAAATATTTTAAGTTGTATCTAATGATAGGTTGTTATATATCATTTAAAGAGTTTAATGTATTTGTTAATGGCAAAAATATTTATCATTTTAAATGACACAACTTATGTTATTTTACTCTCACACAGACACTTTTCCCTTTGTTAATATAGTCAAACATATTACACCTATATATATATTTTTTTGTCAACTCTTTCTCTCTCTTAAAATGACACAACTTTACATCCTCTAAAATGACACACACTTTTCCCTTTGTTAATATAGTCAAACATATTAAATAATATATATATATATATATATATATATATATATATATATATATATATATATACATATGGTAAAATTATTTCTACAGCCGCTTTACGTACAACATCGACAGATGTATGGTTATGATTCCCCTCATTTAATGTTTTTATCCTTTGTATTGTTATAATTTTCCACATTTAATGCTTTCAAATATATATATGGCAAGTATTTGATTGCTGCACGTACAACAACTGCAGAAATGTAAGCCCCTATATATATATGGGTTTGTTTTTTCTGATGTTACTTTAGATAACTTTATCTAATGTTCATCAAAACGACGTCGTTTTGAGACGAAAATCATGGTATTTTTGTAATTTTAATTTATTTCAGGGTTATAATAGTCTTTATCACTCTAATTTTTTACTTTTTCAACCCCAAAACGACGTCGTTTCGATGAACATTAGATAAAGTTATCTAAAGTAACATCGGAAACTTTTTTCCCTATATATATATATTGGCTTTAATGTTTCTACCGAGTAGATAAGTTATTTATATTCACTCTCAAAATAACGTCATTTTTAGTTGAAAAATTAAAAAATTATAATAAGAAAGATTATTATAATCCTGAAATAAATTATAATTATAAAAATAACTTGATTTTCACCCCTAAACGTCTTTTTGAGTTGAATGTAGATAACTTATTTATATTGACTGTAGAAAAAATAAACCCATATATATTAGCATAGAAATGGATGGATGATTGTGAATTTTTTTTTTTCTTAAACTCTTCTTACAATTTCTAATTATTTTTCTTTTCATCCTATAAGGGCAGCTAAATCTCTCTCTTTCATTGCCTGCTTTTATATCTGTTTATTTTTAATAGTTCTATTGTTTCATTACATTTAAATGGGAATTGATTTTCTCATGTCACACGTTCTCTTATGAAGTGATATCCACATAGACAAATCAATTTCGATAAGAAATGAAAGAGAGAAAAAAATTAGGATAAAGAGCGAGAAAAAAAGGATAAATCTTATTAGATTTATTGCTTATTAATTTTACATATTTTGAACCAAATAAGTCTTACAAGACTATATATTTTGATTGCTTGTGAAAAAATTTGTACTTTGGAATGAGTCCAACTGTTTATTAAAATGGGGAACAAACCCTTAAATTAGTCCCCGGAAGGTACATGAAATAGGAAGGATACATTAGTCCCTTCCCTTGAATATTATCTACAACACTTTTGATTAAACGTTAAATGACTGAACTCCTTTTTTTTTTTTCTAACAAAAATTTAAGTATTTAATTTGTTCTGTATCTTTACGTTTCCAATAGCGAGATATTACAAAATAGTATTAACCATTTTTGATAAAATAAATAATATTTTGTCATGAAAATTTTACAGCTCTTGAAAAAGTGTCTTGTCAACTAAGCATTCCTATTGAACGTTTCTTAATGAAAGTAACAAATTGATTAAGTCTACACTTAGAAAATAAGAATATTGTATAATCTTTCTATTGATTATAATTTCAGCTATAGCCGGCTGAAGAAGGCTGGCCGGCCATCTGAATTGAACATGGCATGTTTCTGCAGAAAGCAACACACACGTATATAGATATGTGCCATTGCCACTAACACTGCAACTCATAGTCACAGATAGCAATATAGCAATATGAGACAACCAGGTGCATACTCAAGCTTACTTTGTGGAAGAACAGGGTCACACTCTTTGCCCTTGGCAAGGATCAAGAAAATAATGAAGATGTCTGGTGATGAAGTGAAGATGGTATCTGGTGAAGCTCCTATTATTTTCTCCAAGGCTTGTGAGCTGTTAATTGAGGAACTAGCAAGAAGGTCGTGGAACATTACCATCCAAGGCAAAAGGAGAACTATGCACAAAGAGGATGTGGCCTCTGCTGTTTTATCCACTGATCTATTTGACTTTTTGGTTGCTTTGGTTTCCAATTCTGGCTGTGACAACCTTGTTGCCACTACCACTACAGTTAATGACATGGAAGAGATGAAACACTCCTAGACAACCATTGTAATCAGTGCCAGCACCATCTCAACAATCAAATTCCATGGCTAGTAGTATATAGCTAACAGAAGCACTTGTTTATCACTAGTAGATAAATATTAATTATGTATATGTGTGACTCAAATATAAATTCAAGAGTAAATATGAATAATGAAATTTTATATTACTTAAAAATTGACTATATAAGTGTGGATTAAGTAAGTGAAAATGGTCGATAAAATTAATCTCTTAAGATTTTGCGTTGATATATGGTTCTAAGCTTTGTTATAATCTACCATTCATGTTAGCAATTTAGGTTTTTATTTTTTATTTTTTGTGTGAAACTAAATTATTAGAGGAGAGGGGTTAAATATATAATGAAAAAAGAAAATAAGGTTATAAACCCAACTCAATTAGTCCTAGCTCCCATGAGATAAAGCCGAAAAGCCTACTTCGTTTCAAGTTCCCAACTGATCTCACTTGAGTTAAAACAAGCCCGCTGAATCCCAAGAAAAAACATTTTAACATATTTTAAAGAGGAAGAATTTATTTACAAATTTTTTTATAAATTTTTGCAAATTATATTATAATTCCCTGGAGAACATAGTGTAACCTAATATTCTCCCGAAAAAATATAATATAATTTATAAACAAAAGGTTTGTAAAAATAATGGTCTCCTATTTTAAAATCTAAGACTCTCGCTCATGGGCTAATTCTTAAACTTAAAATTAAAACCAAGTGCAACATGAGTGGCTTATGGGTTGACCCATGGTAATTCATGGAAGGAGCAGATGTCGGGTTTTTGGGTCAGTCTCATTGGCCTTAGCCCATATAAATATATCTGTTAAGGTTTAGAGATAGCACTTGAGTCATTCATGTTGCCTGCGCTTCTAGAAAAATAATTTTTATTTTTTTTTCTTAATTTAAAAATATTTTTTAAAAAGTTAAAATTATTTATATTTTTATAAAAAAAATTTATTGTTTGAAAAAATATTTAACTTTTGACTTCAATTTTTTTTAAAAGTTAAAATTTTTAGCTTCTAGAAAACAAGTAGGTTTTTGGCTTTTTTGTGACTTCTGTTTTTTTTTGAAAACAGACATCCAAAGGAACTTATAGTGAAAAGTGCTTTTTTTCATGAAAAAAAATAGGTTTTTTAAAAAAGCTTATCCAAACATGCCCCTATTCAATCTAGGTAATGTTTGAATTTGATTAATTATTTTTAAAAAGAGCTTTTCATTCAAATTAAGCCATTTAAAAAAAAAAACATGTTTTGGTTGAAGTATAAAATTTTAAGTACTATTTCCATACTAAATTAGCTTCTTCTTTTTTGAAGTTATAAGTTGATCATTCCTATAACAAATTTAAGTATTTATTCTTTTTTTTTGTATATCAACGGAAAACTAAACGAACAAAATTACATCACTCTGACTACTCTAGGCCAGGCAACACCCCGAAGATCCCTACCCAATAATTCTATACACCCATCAGGGGGAGCATAAAAAACAACAGTATCCCACCCATATTCATAAGCTAAACCAGCCAAATAATCAGCAACATTATTGGCTTCCCTATAAACATGAACTAACTGCACTTGCCAATCAAAATTTAAAAACTCTGTAATTCTTTGAATCAAAAACACCAGAGGATGGCTAGGAGCACATCCCTCCTTAACCAGTTGAACTGCTATCTGTGAGTCTCCTTCAAGGATCACCCTTCTATAACCTTTGTTCCAAGCCAAAAGGAGGCCCGAATATAGACCCCAAACTTCAGCCTTGGTTGAACTCCCTCTTCCCAAGTTCTTAGCAAAACCCATAATCCACCTACCTGTATCATCTCTCAGCACCCCACCACACCCACTCTGGCTATTGTTTCTTCTAGCTGATCCATCAATATTAACCTTGATCCAACCAGACTGAGGAGGAGACCAATGGATCATCACTTCAGATTTCTGACTTCTCATATTATTCCTGCATTCCTGTACATGACCTTTTCCTCCATAAAATTAGACAGAAAAATACAAGAATTCCTAGCCAGATTGTCTGCACTTGAACATTGATTCTCAAAAACCAAACTATTCCTTTCTTTCCAAAGAAACCAGCAAACAATACCAAACAAAACACAGCCTCTCTCACCACCTAAGCAGTTCTTCTTAGGAAGCAAGTTAGACTGAAGCCAATCTATTAATGACATCTCACAAAAATCTCCCCATTTATCAGGCCTAACAAAAGCCTTCCAAATCGATTGTTCCCAACTGCAATCCCTAAGGACATGGATACAAGTTTCAGGAAGCAAATTGCATCTGGGAAAAATCTCAGAATCTGACATGTGTCTTTGCATCCTTCTATGATTGGTCAGCAACTTCTCCCCATGAGCAAGCCAAAGAAATGTCTTAATTCTAGGAGGCCCCCCATTCCCAAGTGATATTCCACTGAACATTGGGACTAATAATTGAATCTGGAGACAAACTTCCAAAAGCTGATTTAATAGAAAATCTTCCATCATGGGATAAATTCCAAATAACCCTACCCCCCATGCAATAAATTTGGAGGACAGGTTCCTGCTATATAGCATGATGCTTCTTCTGAAACTAAATGATTAAATTTCAGCCAGTCCTAGTCTCCATCTTCCCTCACCATATCCATCACCTCATAATGCAGAAGCTCACCAGGGATATCCTGAGATATATGGTCTTTAAGGTGACCAATCAACATCCATCTATCATTCCATAATGAGGTACCCTTTCCATTACCTACCATAATTCTGAACCCATCCAGAACTTGGGGCCAAACACGAGTTATTCCCTGCCACAGATTTGAAGAGCCTGACTTCTTGACAATATTTGGGATCAAACAGTCTTCCACCTTATATTTGCTTCTTAACACTTTGACCCAAAGTTAGTCCTTCTTCGTAAGGAGGCCATGAACAGCCTTCATTATACAAGCTTTATTGGTCTGTCTTAGGCTTATGATGCCCAACCCTCCATCCTTCTTTGGTTGGCAAACAATGTTCCATGGCAAGGCATGCACCTTCTTGACATCCCTATCAGAACCCCACACAAAACCCCTCATTTTTTGCTCAATAAGATCACATGTGCCTACCGGAATGAGAGAAGTCTGCATTGAGTAGGTTGGAAGAGCTTCAAGAACAGATCTTGTTAATATAACTCTCCCTGCTAAAGATAAGGATCTCTGCTTCCAAGCATTAAGCTTGCTGCTAGTCTTCTCCAGGATATGCCTAAAGGTATTTTTAGTTACCCTTTTATGCAAAAGGGGCACTCCCAAATACTTTCCCAAGTCAGCAGTAGATGAGAACTTTATGATATGACATAGTTCTTTCCTTCTAATATGATTAACATTTTTTGAAAAGAAAACTTTGGTCTTACCCTCACTAACTTTCTGACCCGAAGCTGAGCAAAACTGGGACATAATTTATGTCACCATTTCAGCTTGATTAGTTGCAGCATCCATAAACAATACCAGATCATCAGCAAAGAATAAATGAGAAATAGGTGGACCTTTCTTACCCAGCCTCACTGGACTCCAAGCCTTCTGGTTTACAGCATCCTGAATCATATGTCCCAATCTCTCAATACACAAAACAAATAGGTAAGAAGATAGGGGATCTCCTTGCCTAATTCCCCTCCTTGGTTTAAAATCCTCAGTTTGTGACCCATTCCACAAAAGATTCATTGTTGAGGTAGACACACTCTCCATAATGAGCCTAATGAAAATCTCTGGAAAACCAGCCATCAAAAGAGTTTCTTGAAGAAACACCCAACTTATCCTATCATAAGCCTTCTCTAGATCAACCTTTATAGCCATCCATCCTTTAGCACCTTTCTTATTCCTCATCGAATGAATTATCTCTTGTGTAATTATAATATTATCAGATGAATGCCTTCCCTTAACAAAACTACATTGGTTAGGCATTATAAGCTCACATAAATGATTCCTCATCCTCCCTGCCACTATCTTTGTGACCACCTTATACACCACATTACAAAGAGAAATGGGCCTAAATTGACTTATCAGCTCGGGCCTATCCACTTTAGGAATCAAACATATGAGAGTTTGATTTATCTTCTCCACCTTCCTAGGATCTTCAAAAATCTCCTATATCAACTTAATTGCAGATTTCCCTACTTTTTCCCATTGAGAGTGAAAGAAAACCACATGTAATCCATCCAAGCCAGGAGCTTTATAAGGCTTCATGTCAAAAAAGGTCCTCTTTATTTCCACAGAATCTGGAATTGCCCCCATATTTGTCCAATTCTGATTATCAATGATAGGAAAAAAATTCCCTATATTAATATTAGGATCAAGATGAACTTCCTCCATATAAAGATTCTTGAAGAAATTGACAGCTAGGCCCTTTAATTCCTCAGGTTCCTCCACCCAACCTCCATCATTCTTCTTCAGGGCTTTAACCTTGTTCCTTCTAGTTCTAGCTACAGTGGCAGAATGGAAGAATTTGGTATTCTTGTCTCCAAAGGCCAGCCATTTACATCTAGCTCTTTGAAACCAAGTCATTTCCTCCTAAACATAAATAGTATTCAATTCCTGCCATAACTCCTTATGCAACCTCTCCAAAATCTCACTGGAATACCTACTCAACTCTAATTCCAGGCCTCCAATTGTGCCCTGTAAATTATTCTTTCTTCTATGTAAGGCCTTGAAAGTATTTTTGTAACATCCCCGTCTCGAGCCGGTTCAATTAACATACATATGATAAAACAGAAAACAGCGGAAGACTTAACTTACGAAAATATGAGCTAACTTTTTCTTTTTCTAACTTAATTCTTTCTCGGCGTAAACGAAAATCGGGCAGAGTTTCCTCTATAAATCGGACAACTGGGGATTTTCCAATCCCACTCAGAAGCATTTCCTGATAAACAGTTTATACGACATATCAATTCAGAAATACCAGATATCCAAATATAATCGAATACCCATACATGGGCGCATGCATAACATGGCTCCGTGCCACTAAATCCAACAGCATGCCATCAAAACATAA